CACGGAGCATGTCAGATTGTGGGGAAAGGAGGGTTGAGTAGTTTGTTGACTGAGATAGTGAATTCTGAAAGAAACACTTACTTAGAAGAAGAAGGAAGGCTTATTTTCTCTCACTCTCTTTCAGTTATGGGCTCTGTGGAATCCATTACATCGATGCCGGTTACCTTGGTTTTAAGGCCTACTTTACTGCTCCACGGAAAGGCACCGTCTGGGTGAGCCTCTTCTTTCCCCAGGCTTCAGTGTGTAGGAAGTAGTCATTTGTTCACTGTAGTAGTCATAGTTCAGGGTTCAGTGAGGAACAGCTACATAATCACCATCATTAGGGACATGAGTTGTCTTTTTGTATCCCTCTCATTAACCTCAAACATATAGTCATTATCACAGAAATGAGTGAGTGGATGGATGAAATAAATAGGTCTCCTTCTATTAGAGTCTTTCAGGTTCAGACTGGCTCGGGACAGTAGCTGCAGGAGATATATCTGGGGAGCTCATTGCAGCTATTTTGCCTGATATGGCATCAAACCCCATCAATGTCAAGAAACCTGCAGAAAGAAGATTTGTAAGTATATGAACATCAACCTATTAGGTCATAATCTATTACCTTGCCAACTCTTGGTAGAATGCAAACTGGTGCTTGGTCTCCAAGCTCCGATACGGTTCCTGTTGTGGCAAGGATTTATGTATAATCTTCTCTATCCTATCGGAAATGAGCATGTTTTTTAAAATGGTTATTATCATGTAAAAGGGGGTTGGTTTGCACGGTTCATGTGTGGCCAGAGGGCGACTTTTGAGAGTCAGTTCTTTCTCTCTCTACCATTTAAATCCTGGAGATTAAACTCAAGTCATCAGGCTTAGCAGCTAGAGCCTTTATCCACAGCCCTCATGCTAGCCCCAGTTTGTATTTATTCTTTCTGCTTTTGAAACTTGGTCACAGTAAGCTAGTTTCCTTTCTGCTTTTGTGTCAGTATTTTAAAATCTAATCTTGGCTGAGAGCTAGCTCAGCATGTAAAGATGCTAGCTGCCAAGTTCAATCCCCAGGACTCATGGGATGGAAGAGAGAGTTGACTCCCCAAGTTGTTCTTTGACACATATACCCCATGGCATGTATAAAAGACAGTTGAAAAAAAAAATTAAGACCCTAATTTTATGATCTTCTCTCTAGCCTATATATAAAGCAGATCTGATACCATACCAGGACAGCCCTGAAGACCAAGACTACTCCTCGACTTCCTCTGAGACCCCTAATCCTCCCAAAGCAAGAACCTACACCGAAACCATCAACCACCACTACTTGCTCTTTCAAGACACAGATCTGGTAAGTTGTGGCTACAACTCAGTGTGGCATTAGAAAAGATAGAAACCTTAGAAAACAGGGAACCCTAAGGAATTCCACTTCTGTTCCCCAGAGCTCCTTCCACAACCTGCTTCGTAGAGAGCCGATGCTGCGCATGCAGGAGGGAGAGGGGCATTCTCAGCTCTGCCTGGACAGGCTACAGCTTGAAGCTATTCACAAGGTAAGGACCTCGTCTCGAATCTTTCCCGTGCTCCACTCTGCCTGTGATCTGTGAAATGAGAATTAAAAGGCAGCAGGATGGCCAGAGAGAAGGCAGCACTGATAACCTCTCCAGGTCACGGTGTGTAGACTCATTCGCTGACTGTCTCTCATGGTCCAGTCCTCCGGACTGTGTGTCTTTACTTGGTTGGTTGGCTTTGGGTGTTGAGACAGGGTCTTTCCATGTAGCCCTGGCTGTCATGGTGCTCACTTTGTAGACCACACTGTCCTCGAACTCACAAAGACTCATCTTCCTTTACCTTCTGAGTGCTGGGGTTAAAGGTGTAGTGACCTGTTTCTAAAGTTCACGTAGCTAGGGTCACCCAGAGACCCAGACCCTGAGGCTCTTTTTGGTTTTCTCTTCACAGGTACGTTTCAGCCCAAACCTGGACTCCTATGGATGGCTGGTATCTGGGGGGCAGTCAGGGCTGGTTCGGATCCATTTTGTCCGTGGACTCACTTCCCCACTGGCCCACCGTGTACAGCTTGAAAGCCGAGCCAACTTCAATGCTATGTTCCAACCATCTTTTCCAACTGAAGGGCCTGGTTTCTCTCCAGCCAGCCATTGCCTTCTCCCCAATCCCTAGTCTGGTCTACACAGAACTCTTGGATTGAAGTCTGCCAAGAACAAATGGCTCCCATGCACAGAGCATAGGACCTGGGCCCTTCCTGGACAGTGATGGTGCCAGGCCTACATGTTTAGGCCTACCTGCCCAGAACTCCTTAAATCCCTCTCCTTCCACGACTTCTTTGGTCACAGCTCCCTGCAGGTAGGGGGGCTCCCCCTCCACAACAATTCCTATGCCTAAAACCGTGGCTCACAAGAAACACTCAGGCCTGACCTAGGCTTGGGAGTCGAATTGCTCATATTGAGCATATTGTGAAGGAGGTAAAGCTAAGTAAAGGTACTGGGTGTTTTTGAGACCACTTGTGAGTGGGTGTTTGGAGAATCGGAAAGGATATCTTCATGAAGGCTCCTGTCTGTTTTCAGGATTTGATGTTACTGCCTTCCAATATTTCCTCTTTAGAATAACCAACATACAGGCCCAATGGGGATGACAGTAATTTATTGGACTGAAGCTGCTCGTAACACTTTAACTGAGGAACACCATAGATCCCCTGCCAGTAGGACAGCAGCTAGCTCTTAATTGCTCCTGCCTATGAAATATTCCCAATCACTGACATTTGGCTATTTGAACACTCCTAATAGTAGTGTCTTTAAAATTTTTGAAGCTGAGTATAGTGGTGCACGCCTGTAATCCCAGCACTTGGGAGGCCGAGGCAGGAGGGTCACAAGTTTGCGTTCAGTCTGGGCTATCACATAAACCAAAAAGTAAAAAAAGAAAAAAAAAAAAAACAACTTCCTTTATATCAAGTCAGAGTATACCTCTATTAATTTTACTAATGGGTGTTAGGAAATCGAGTCATTCTTCCCTGTGGGTGCCCTTTTCAGTACTTAACAGTAGCTATCATGTGTTTCCCAAGTAATTTTTTTCTCTAGATTAAATATCTTTAGTTATTTCAATCATTCTTTTACAAGTCATGATTTTTGATCTTCATGAGATGGTCACATTGTTGACGTATTAAACATGTTTAAACTGTATAGAAAGTATTTAGAACCCAATAATGTATTGTTATCTTAATAGAGTCCTCTTGTGGATAGCTGCACCTCACATGACTGTGATACTGCCTCAAAAACAAGCAGTTCCAGGGATGTGAAATCGCCAAATCACAGTTGTGGAACACTTAGGAGTATAGGCTGAAGTTTGGGAGGAAGTAGTTAGACCATCTTAGGAAATAGGAAACAGGTAGCTTGCTTCCCCTTGGAGGAGATGCAGTCTAGATTAGTATTGCCCGAAACAAAACCTAGACTTTAGAGCACTCAAGACTGGTCTGTTATATCTGGGAACAGCTTTTTGCCTGAGTAGATTGGTCAAATGCCAGAAAATCTTTAAGAAGAGAATCAAGTAGTTCATTCCTCTTCCTATACGGAAGAGGAAGCAGAGCTGTGGGAAACTCAGGTCCTCAAGCAGCAGAAGGACCACAACCTGTGTTGGTGTTAGAAGCCAAGTGTTGTACCACTCTGTTGTGATCCAGCTCAGGCTGTGTCGGGCTTGCTTTTTGAACTAATAAAGAAGTGCCTTCCATTGCAGAGAAGCTTGGCTCATCCTGCAGAGCAACCCCATGACACAGCACATCCATGTTCCCCTATTTCCAGCGGTAGAGAAGGTGGGCCCGGGAAGTACAGGCTGAGGCTGTAGGCTGCTGACCCCAGCTCTGTTCATTTTCCTTTCCCACAAATATTTTCTGAGTCCATTTTTCTTCCTTAGAATATTTACTTTATACTCTGTTAGTTCTAGTCCTTCCTTTCCTTTGTGCTTTAGTCTGTTGCCTTCTCCAATTGCCACTTTCCATCACCTAAATCCTGTTAATCCTTCAAGATCCTATCTCAGGGCTGGCTGGGGTAGAACTCAGTGGAAGAGCATGTGCTTAGCATATACAAGACTCGTGGAAGATTCAGTTCCCACCCACCCCGTACTTCCCTCTAAAACTACCCAGGTCAAATTTTACTAAGGAACTTTTCATATTTCTCCAGTGGTGGGGAGAGGGGAAGTCTGTGTGTTCCAGAGGAGAAGGTGGGATGGATAAATGGTATTAAGCATTTGCTGTGTTTTGGGGTGCTTTCTGTACATTTACTGAGCCCAGTGAGGTAGGTACTATTTTATGTAATGATGATTAGCTTTTGAGAGGTTAAACAGTCTAAATAAGGTCATATAACTACCAAAAACTGGCACTGGGATTTGAATCCATATACTCTTGATTTAAAATACCTTTCCAGTCTTGTACATTTGGTCTCCTGTTACATCTACTAGTGAAATTCCTTTAGCATGCTCTGAACACAGGAATCTGAATTCTCCTGAATCCTTACTCTGTCTAGTAGCTAAATAGGATTCCTCCTTCGCTAATCAAACGGGAATTGAGTAAATGAGCTTGGTGGTGGGCAGATGGAGAGCAGGGAAGTTGACTTTTCTCAAGACTTGGGAACGTATACATTCTTCCCTGTCCAGGAAGGGTATGTAGGGAGTGGGGTGTTACAGCTGGAGGGAGACCAAGATTTCGGTAACTAATTTTCAAACACCTGCATGCGTCTGCGTAAAAGACTCGAGAAACACATTTCACACAGAACAGCCGGGCACGGTGAAACATGCCTGTAATCCCAGAGGCAGAGGCAGGCAGGGCCTTTCTGAGCTACAAAGCGAGTCCGTGACAGCCAAGGCTACACAGAAACCCTGTCTTGAAAAGCAACCTCCATTGGATCCCCTGTTGTACGTCCCTAGATTCTGAGGAGCCGGAATGGAAAAACTGCAAGCCAGTCATCTAACAAACGCTCATGACCAAGGCTGAGCAGTCCCAGTTAAAAAACTTAACACGGGCGCTCTCATATTTCTATTGAAAAACACTTCACACAGAAGTTCCGGTACGAGAACAAAAACAATTTCTGCCCCATTCGGGGCTTACAGTTGACTCTGAGGTACAACACAGACAAAACATGTGAACTAAACCAGCATTCATGTTTGCGAACTAAGAAGGGCGTCCACACCGCTCGGTACAGGAAGCACAGACTGGGTGTGTCCACGTGAAGGGCTTCCCACTACTAGGTGGCTGGCTGAGCAGCCTTCCAACGGGTATCAAAGGACCCAGCCACTTCCATTTCTCCCGGATGGTAAGCGGCGCAGGCAGACGGAAGGGGCGGGGCTCGAAACGGAAGTTCCTGAGCCCGCAGCTGTCACGATCACGTGGGAAAAGGTTCCAAGCATAGCTGGCACTCAGGTGAGTGGAGGTTTCTTTGCAATCACTGATTTGAAGTGCTGTGTGCCATGAGCTCCTGCCAGTTATGAGACCTTATAGACCCAGGTCGTTGGCTTATTTCCGGTGTGGAGTTGCACTCAGAAAGGGTGTGGTTTAATTCCAACTGAGTCTGAATTGTAGACCTATCCCGTTTACTTGAGGGATGGGACCCAGACTCTAGTTGGAAGCCAGAGTAAGCCTAATCCCATGAGTGTCTGGATCAAGACTGGAGGCCCCCAGCCAACCTTGCTTCAAGACCGGATTTGGGGAGGCAGAGGCAGCTTCCAGGACTTCTAAAAGTTACCCGAGACTGCCTCTTCTCCAGGTGTAAAGTGACGAGGATGCAGGGCACTGCCCAGTAAGCAGCCTTTCTGAGGCCTCTTGTCACTTGCAGATTTTGGAAGTGAGAGTGAGCCTAAGGAAATGGCAGGTGTGTTCTTTACTGTTGGGGGGTGGAGTGGGCGGGGCCAGTGGGAGTGACTTGTCCTCTTGGTTTGACAGGAGGCATGGCACTCTGGCGGGCGTACCAGAGGGCCCTGGCTGCACATCCGTGGAAAGTCCAGATTCTGACCAGTGGTGAGTATCTCTCTAGAACCAGAGTGTAATTAGAGCGGGCAGATTTGAGGCAAAAGAGGCCCGCATTTCCTCCTGTTTAGCCCTTGGAGGAGCTGACTTTCTCTCATCCCAAACTATTCTGTTTTGGAGTGAGGTCCCAAAACTATTCCTAAGAGATACATAGTAGAGAGGTGGCTCAGAGGATAACAGCACTGCCCTGTGGAAGACTCAGCACCCATGTCAGTAGTTCCAGGGGGATCTGTCACCTCCAGCCACCTGTGGCACCTGCGCTCACTTGCACAACCACTCTCCCCACACAATTTAAAATAACAGTAAAAGAGATACATAGTCTGTCCAGTAAGACTTAAAGTTCTCAGGCTGGAGAGATGGCTTAGTTAAAAGCACTGTCTGTTCTTCCAAAGGACTCGGGTTCAATTCCCAATACCCACATGGCCGCTCACAACTGTCTGTAACTCCAGTTCCAAGGCATCTGACATCATCACACTAATGTACATAAAATAAAATTAAATAAATTATTTTTAATATAATGTAATTATTATTTTTAAATATATTTATTTATGTATATGAGAGATTTAGCTGAATGTACACGTGCATGACAAAACAGCATCAGATCCCATTATAGATGGTTGTGAGCCACCCTGTTGTTGCTGGGAATTGAACTCAGGACCTCTGGAAGAGCAGCCGGTACTCTTAACCTCTGAGCCATCTCTACAGCCCAATTTTAATTTTTTAAAAAAGACTAAAAGTCCTCAAACCTAAATAAAAAAAAAAATTATTATTTTTTTTTTTCAAAACAGGGTTTCTCTGTGTGGCCCTGGCTGTCCTGGACTTGCTTTGTAGCCAAGGCTAGCCTCAAACTCACAACGATCCGCCTGCCTCTGCCTCCCTGAGTGCTGGGATTAAAGGCATGCACCACCATATTATTTTTTGGTTTTTCTACAAAGGGTTTTTCTGTGTATCCCTGGCTACCCTGGAACTTACTCACTCTGTAGAGCCGCCTACCTCTCCTAAGTACTGGGATTAAAGAAATGTGCCTTTATCGCCTGGCTAAGTAGTTTGTAGTCCATTTTTTGTTTTTTTTTGTTTTTTTTTTTTTTAAGATATTTATTATGTGTACAATGCTTGTTCTGGCTGCATGTATGCCTGCATCATCATAGATAGTTGTGAGCCGCCATGTGGGTGCTGGCAATTGAACTCAGGACCTCTGGAAGAGCAACCGGTGCTCTTAACCTCTGAGCCATCTCGCCAGCCCCCAAGCAGTCCATTCTTAAAAGCATTTCGCCGAGGAGACCCCTACCTCAGCGAGCTAAATGTTCTCCTCCTACATTTATAGTGTGCCAAGCACATTGTATACAGGCATTGTGTCATAGGGGTCTCCGAAGGCCTGTTAGTTAGAACGAGCTCAAAGTAGGCCACCTACCTAGCAAGTGCTGAAGTAACTTACTCTAGTTTCCTGAGTATTTTTTTATTGTGAAATGTACAAAATAGTAATGAATCTGAAGTTTAAATACTGTTGAGCCTGAGTGCTTCTGAATCAGTACCCGGCTTTGGGACGCTCTGATCCCTCTTCGCAGTTCAAATATTCCACTTTTTTTTTATTTCACTTTTATTTTTAGACAAGAGTCACACACTAGCCCAGGCTGACCTGGAATTCACTGTGTAGCCAGACTGGCCTTGAACTTGCAGCAGTACCAGCTCAGCCTCCTGAATGCTGAAATTACAAGCTTGAGCCACCACAGCTGGCTAGATGACCACTTTCCTGAGATTAGCCTACAGCGTGGTTTTGCTTTTCTTACTTACATACCCTTAGTCTACTAACTGGGTCCTTTTTACTCTGTGTCCAGTGAGGGAATAGCAGCCTCACAGAGCCCCTCCAGGTTCCTCCTGTGTCTGTTTCCACCTTCCTTTTGCTGGTCAGCTAGTCAAGGGGACAGGCCAGGGAGCAGCAGCAGGCCCCTCATCATCAGAGTCATGAAGTGGATGATCAGGTCATAAACACATCTTGCCTGTGTTTAGAGAAAGAATCCATATTCTAAGGAGGTCTGCGGGCTTCTGAGAGGAAAGAGGGAGACTAGAGTAGAACACCGGTTCTGATAACCGAAGAGCCCTATGTTAGCATCAGAAACCACATGCCCGGCTAGGAGGTGGACTCTTTTACTCTGCCCTGGCCCCTCAATAGCACCCTGTGCCCATCCACCTCTTGTCCTCAAAGTGCCCGGCCGGCATGACTCACCTGGCTCGGTGTGTGGTGACTCAGGCCCGACTGTGTGGCTGTGATGGGAACTGACACGCTGGGCCCTTTGCCCAGCCTCAGAGTCCCTCAGGGCCCCTAGATGCCAGATAGAAGGTCCCCCCTTGCGGCCATCAAGAATGCAGAGAAAAGGGCAGTCCTGTTCCCCTGCCTAAGTGACCCATAGCTGACAAAGGCAGGAACTAAAGCTCCAAGGGGCACAAATGCAGAAATGTGCCTTTCTGGGGTTTCGGGACTGCTTGTGCTCAGGTCTTAATTAGCATGGTCTCATATGCACATTTCTCCTGAAACTGAGGCATCTTCACTTGGTCCTGACGCACCTATGGCCTCTCAGCCTTTCTCTCAGATTTTTCCTTCCTTGCCGGAAGGGTATTTAGGCCAACCTACATAGAAAGGTTTGGGGTGGGCTTGGCTCACCTAACCCTTTGGACTGTTTTCAGAGCACAGTGGCTCCAGAGGTCCCTTGGGATAGCTCACACTGGGAAGCAGAACAGAGATTTCAGACTTGGAACTAGAAGGCCAAGATCTGAATCTCAGGGCATCGCACTTAGTAGCTGCTTAATTAGTCCACGTCAATAAACCTCTTTGGGCCTCAGTTTCCTCATTTAGAACTTAAAAGGTCAGTTATGGGACTTATCTCTGAGAAGAAGCTCTGGAAGTGTTATTTACTTACTCACAGTACCAAAGGCGGGGCGGAAGCTACAGCCTCACAAATGCCAGGCAAGAACCACACTCTCTAGACAATGCACCTATCCTTGTGTACCTTTTTTTTTTTTTACATTATTTATTGTGTATGTGCCCGAGTGCACACATGTACTGCATGTGTGAAGTCAGTTCTCTCCTGGAACTGACTGCAACTTTTTTTTTAATATTTTATTTTATTTTTTAGATTTATGTATACAATGTTCTGTCTGCTTGTACACCTGCAGGCCAGAAGAGGACACCAGATCCTGTTATAGATGGTTGTGAGCCACCATGTGGTTGCTGGGAATTGAACTCAGGACCTCTGGAAAAGCAACCAACCAGTGCTCTTAACCTCTGAGCCCTCTCTCCATCCCTGACTTGAATTTTTAAAATGTACAATAAACTCAAGGAGTTGGTCCTTCCTGTGATTATTAGAAACCTGTGTACAGCAAGCTCCTCTTTTTGTTGATATTTGTTTGTTTTTTTTCTGGAACCTGGATTTTTTTTTTTAATTTAGTTTTATGTGCATTAGCATGAAAGTGTCAAATCCCTTGGAACTGGAGTTACAGACAGTTGTGAGCTGCCATGTGGGTGCTGGGAATTGAACCCGGATCATGTTAGGAAGAGCAGACAGTGCTCTTAACCACTGACCTATCTCTCCAGCCCCTTGTTTTTGTTTTTCTGAGACAAGGTTTCTCTGTGTAGCCCTGGCTGTCCTGGACTGTCTTTGTAGAGCAGACTGGCCTCAAACTCACAGAGATCCACCTGCCTCTGTCTCATGAGTCCTGGGATTAAAAGCCTGTGCCACCACTGCCTTGTCCAGCTCGTGATTTTCAATCAGAATCTCACTGCGCAGCTCAGGCTGGCCCTGAACTCGTCAGTCCTCCCACCACACCCTTGTAAGTATCCAGATTGTAGGCTTGTTCATGCCCGGTTGTGGATATGCCTCTCAGCCTTGTTGTTCCAAAAAGCAGGGCCTGAAACTTATCTGCAGGTTAGAAGGTAATCCTTCCGAAGGGTAAGAGGAAGAGTATGACGGCTGCATTATTAAATCGGCTGCTTTTCAGGGCTTCTTGTGGCTCCATACTTTGGAACTGAATAAGAAGCAGTTTGAAATGCCTTATCAGATGAAGAATCATTTCTGGAAGAGAGACCTTCACCCACCAGCTTCTATTCCACACTGTTCAGCATTTCACCCCAGGGAACACTCTACTCCTCTCTACTACCTGTTCATATATATGTAGTCCCCAAAGGCATTAATGGTGAGACCCTGAAGGAAGGCTGTCTCTTGCTACTGCAGTAATGACTAGAGCAAGAGACAGGTGAATCAAGATCTGAAATGGTCCAGCGGAAGTGTCTAATACTCCAGTCATGACCTGGGCAGTCTGGGGAAGAGGTTGACTGTGTGTTCTGCAGAGTCTGAGTCAGCTTCATCCCTTCCTTTCTGGAGGGCTCTTCCAGTCTCCAGTGGGCCCAGAGCCCAGGGCCCACTTCCATCCATTGCACGCCACCCAAGCAGCTAAACTGTAGGCACTGCTTTCCCTGGAACCTGACTTGAGCCAGAGTGTGACTCACAAGCCTTGATACTGCAGAAAGGGAAACTGAGGCATAAGCAAGGTATGGCATGCACTTAGGCGTCATATGGTCAGTTCTAGAGCTGGCATTAGAATCTAGGGCACTGCTTCCTGTACTTGAGGTACTGGGGCCGCAGGACACTGAGTGTCAGCCCAGTTGGTCTGGGTTTAAACATGACAAGCTGCAGAACTGGCCGCTTTGTCTCATTTTCTTCAATGGGATACATGTGGACAGGAGTGAACTAAGCATTTGGACCAGTCCCAGGGAATACTCAGCCCCTTCTCAAAAGAGTTTCAGCTGCCTCTGGGTCCTGGGTCAGGTCAAACTCCTGCTCCAGCCAGGGTCCCCCCCACCCCCAGTCTGCAGCAATGCTGGATCTGTGCCAGGAATATCTGTACTTGCAGACCCCACCTCCCATCCTTAAAGGCATACTTCCTGTCATTTTTCCAGGAAGCCACTTTCTGCCCGTCTGCATTCTCATCTTCCATCAGCGCTTTATTTTCTTATACATAGATGGTTTACAAAATCAAGTGTAGGAACAAAGGGAAGCAAAGGATTTGGCTCTACTTGTGCCTTGGAAGAGGGTGGGAAAGTTGAGGCTTTTCCACTGATAGGCAGGGTATGGTCTCAAATAGATCAGTCACCAGAGCCAAACATCTCTTTCCCCCCACTCCCTGGGTCCAGTGGGGAGTGACGAATGAGGACTGGCACCTACCCAGAGGCATGATGTCATACTCAGAACCAGTGTCTTCTCGCTAGGCTCTGTGCCCAGCTTGGCTTTGGGGCACCACTTCCCAGCAACCCCTCGTTCCGTCCCACCATGGGTCTGAGCATTATGTGTTTAAGGTTTCCAGCTCCAACTCTCAAGTCCAGGGAGAGAGGAACCAGATCCCAACACTATCCTAGTTGACCAGACGATGCCCTTGAAGTCTCCCAGAGGTTGGGTGGTTCGGATGTTTCCATTCTGAGCTGGAGAAAATAGGATGAAGAGTTTGGATGTTCAAGTCCTTCCTGTTGAAGGCTCACCTGGACCAGGAATGCAAGGCCTTGTGCTTGACCTTTACCTAAGTCTTCAGACATCCTGGAGTTACTGCAGGTCTAGTGCTCATAATCTATGAGCAGAAGGCAAACTTCCAGATACCCCAGCCGCCTGCTGTCTAGGAATCAGAGACAGTCTGAATACAAGCAGAGATTATAGCATGGACTCCCCCCTTAAACAACCTATAAGAAGGGGGCCCAACCAGGCATTACACCTGTAATCCCAGCCCTCTGGGAGGCAGAGGCAAGTGGATCTCTGAGTTTGAGGCTAGCCTCGTCTAGAAAGTGAATCCTTGACAGCCACGGTGACACAGAGAAACACTGTCTCAAAAAAAAAAAAAAGGGGAGAACCCACTTACCGTTGTGGATACCATAAAGAGTCCAGAGTCCGTTTTCATTGCTAAAAAGGCTTCCAGAACCATGGAACTTGGCTTTTTATTCCAGTTCTGCCTTTAGCTCATATGACTAAAGCTATAAGCTGTGAAGAGAGAAAATATGCACATCTCTAGTTCCCAAGAATATTGTTCCCTGTGGGTAACAAGGAATAGAGGTGATAGAAGTCTGGGGAATGAAGCAGAAGTTTGTGAGTACATAGTAAGCTTCTTAATGCTTTTAAATGTGTGTATGTGTACCACATCTGTGCCTGGTGCCCCCAGAGATCAGAAGACGCCACTGGATCTCCTGAAACTGGAGTTAGAAATGGTTGTAGGCTGCTGTGTGAATGCTGGGGACCTAATCCAAGTCCTCTTTGAGAACTGTGAGTGCTAACAACTAATGAGCCATTTCTCCATCCCCTGCTGTGTTTGGTCTATCTTCTCTCTCTCTTTCCTTCTTCCTTCCTTCCTTCCTTCCTTCCTTCCTTCCTTCCTTCCTTCCTTTCATTTTTATTGTTTTGTTTGAGACAAGGTCTCACCACATATCCCTGTCTGGCCTAGAACTCACAATGTAGACCAGGCTCTCTTTGACTTTAAATAATCCTGTGTCTCTTCCTCCCAAGTGCTGAGGTTTCAGGTATGTGCCACCATACCTGCTCAGGAAACATCTTTGATATGTGGTCCCTTTGGGGCATTATGTGGGTAAGAGCCTTTGATAGCCCATAGCCTCTGAGCCTGCCTCTGCCTATGCTCTGACCTCCTTGCTCCCCTGGCTCAAATTGATCCAAACTGTACTCCCTACTAGGTCACTTCATTCCTCCAAGACTCCTTAGTTAGGTGGACATATGGCTACTTGCTCCCCAGACATTCTGTGAGGATTAATTGATTCCTTTGTGAACTGTCACCATTTAATCAAAGTGGACTGTTGTCCCTTCATTGCCCAAATGCCTTCAGACTTCTCAGGGTCATTTTTCCCTTTATGCATGGCTGAAGTAGCCCAGGAGAGAGAGCTGAAGAGAGCCCTGAACACAGCTGATGGCCACATATTGGGAGGTGGTGGGGCAGGGGGAAATTGTAACTCACTGGGGGCCAGCAGCAGATTCTGGGTTCCCTGACGTCCTAATACTTTGAGCCTGACACATTTCTTCAGGTTGAGCATACAGTTCTTCATGCGCTTCCCCCAAACAACCTTGTTTGGGGCTGTAAGTTTTTTATTATTTTCTGAGCACCTGTTAGGGGCTTGGTTAGGTGTGAGGAATGACAACAAACATGTCTAGGATTCTACATTGGCCACCCTCCATGCCCAGGAATTCTGACCTTGCCCTTGGGGAGGCCATGTCTGACTGCTTAGGGGACTCAGGGGAAGAGAGGCAGTACTGGCTGGAGGGCATGCTGAAGGAGAAGAGGAGCTGCTTTATGGCCAGCTGCCTAGGTCACATAGGTTGCCCATCACCAGCTCTACCTCCTAGCTTTCCCCAGCTGCCTCTGACTAGGTTGCTCTGAGGAAGTGTGTGGAGAGGTGTGGGGGAAGAGCAGAGCTACGTGTGCAGCCAGCATGGACGTCAGAGCCAGTCCCAGAGGAAGGAATGGGGTTGAAGGGTGTGTTTGTCCAGTGCTGATTGAGGGCATGGGGACAGTGATGGATTCGGAGCTAGAGGGGACGCTCATTACTCACTGAGCTGGGTGGATGAGCTGGGATCACACGGTCACTCCCAAGCGGCCCTCTTACTGTTTGTTAGAAGCCATCACGCCATCATGACAAACCGGGGGCCGTAAATAGTGATGAGTCCAATTCTGTCTTGGCTACTAGAGGTGGGTGTTTGTGCAGTTAAGGGGAGGGAAAGCAGGTGCCGAGGTCTGAGAGGAAGTGGCTGTAGGTCCTGTTGCCAAGGATGTGAAAGGAGAATCTGGGCTTGTCCTCCTGTGTGTGCAGTAGGTGTCCTGGACTCCTCCTTGTGGAGGACGCGCTTACCTCAGTGTCTTCCTCTCTGGCACCATTTAAACACATTTTAGGAAGTCTTCCGTGTTATTTTCTACCAATAAAGATCCCTAAGACTAAAGCAAAAGATGTTGGCCAGAATCTTGCTTTGGGCTGGCAGGAAAGAGACAGTGTTCCTCATTGTCCTGCAGTAATCTTGGACACTGTCAAAAGGACTGTCAAAAGGACAGGGTCTAGGAGTCACGCTGCCTGCCTATGCAGGGCCAGCTGCATGAAGCCTTGGACCTTCATTTCCACACTTCCAGAATAAAAGTTCGGGTGGAAAGTTCTAGAAGAACCTTTCAGTTCTGGCCTCTACACTTTTCAGCCATGGACTGTAGGGTTTCATTCTTCTGCAGTTTCAGCCCTGGTTTCCTTACAACCTACTGTATGGAGCTGGAGAGAGAGCTCAGAGACTAAGAGCACTGGCTGCTCTTCCAAAGGTCCTGGTTTCAATTCCCAGCAGCCACATGGTGGCTCCCAACCATCTATAATGAGATCTGGTGCCCTCTTCTGGCAATGCAGGCACACATGCAGGCAGAACACCATGTACACAATAAATAAATAAATCTTAAAAAAAAACAAAAACAAAAACCAACTTACTGTATATTTATAGATCCTGGCCTCCTCATCACAGTTCTTGTGTCTGTCTCTATGCCCTGCCCCCCTCCCCCAACTTCCTTCATGGTTTGTTTGTTAAGATGTGGTCTCACGATGCACAATGACTAGCCTGGGATTCCCTATGTATCCCAGGCTGTCCTTAAACTCATAGCAATTCTACCCCTGCCTCCCAAGTAGACAGTAAGATGCATGAGAGATGTAACCATCCTTGAGGAGCAGGGGCCTTCAAGGCAGCGAGGAGGGGCTGGCCATTTGCCAGAATGCGGCCCTGGGTCTCAAAGTGCCGAGCCTCATTTGGTCAGCAGCCTTACCTTTAGGGGTATGTCCTGACCACACGCGTGTCCCCTGCACAGGGTCACTGATGGGCCTAGGTGACATCATCTCACAGCAACTGGTGGAGAGGCGGGGTCTCCAGGAGCACCAGACAGGCCGCACTCTGATCATGGTATCCCTGGGCTGTGCCTTTGTGGTAAGTTCTGCTTTGGGTGGGTCTGCAGTAACTTGGGCAGTGGAATTCACTGTCTGTCGTCCTGTAGTTTTCATTTGCCTCTCACCCCTAGGCCAGCCTACGCCCTCTTTTGGTCTTAGAGTCTGGACTTCCTCAGGAGTTGGTTTCTGCTGCCCGGGGGAGGAGCTTTATGATATAAAAAGCCAAGGGTTGGGGCTAGAGAGATGGCTCAGAGGTTAAGAGCACTGCTTGCTCTTCCAGAGGTCCTGAGTTCAATTCCCAGCAACCACATGGTGGCTCACAACCATCTATAATAAAATCTGGTGCCCTCTTCTGGCATTCAGGTGTACATGCAGGCAGAACACTGTATAAACAATTAAAAAAAAAAAAAAAAGCCAAGGGTGGCCTACCACCCTGTCTTTCACTCTCAGGGGCCCGTACTTGGAGGCTGGTACAGGGTTCTGGACCGCTTTATCCCCAGCACCACCAAGGTAGATGCTCTGAAGAAGATGTTGTTAGATCAGGTGAGCTACGAGAAAGGGAGCTGGGGAGGAGAGTCTGGTTGGGGTGGTCGGTGAGCACGGATTTTCACTTAATTTCTCTTCCGCAGGGGGTCTTTGCCCCATGCTTTTTAGGCTGCTTCCTCCCAACGGTAGGGGTGCTCAATGGAATGTCAGCCCAGGACAATTGGGCCAAACTATTGCGTGTGAGTGGATCCTTGGCTGCCCCAAGGGAAGGAGGCAGGCAGGGGTGACATACAGGGGGTGGGGGCCCCCGGTGGGTGGGCATGCCTTCTTGGAATAGAGTCTGTGTGTGATAGGCATGCTGCTTGCATATGGAAGCGTTAACTGTCCCCTCCCTGTCTTTGTAGGACTACCCTGATGCCCTCATCACCAACTACTATGTAAGAGTTGACCCCTCCACTGGCTCTTCTGCCTCCTGTAGTCCAGAAACACCCCGAGATTGGGGCCCTTGAAGCATAAGAATCCCTCTATGAGGATCGCTCTCTCATTGCCCACTTGAACGCACCCACCTTCAGCCTTTTCTTATGTGGACTGTGGAGTGGGGCCAGGCAGGACAGGGAGTCGGGGTCAGGTAGGGGACAGCCCCTGACCTTCCCATCTTCTTCTTGCAGCTCTGGCCCGCTGTGCAGTTAGCCAACTTCTACCTGGTGCCCCTGCATTACAGGTACTACAGATCCCCCCTCACCCCTGAAGGAGGAGCTCTGCTTCCCGGTTGGAGATGAGACGGTAGTCACCTCAACCCCACCCAAGTTCCGTGTTTGGTGGCTCATCTGCAGGGCCAGGGCCTGGCTGCGGTACCCTGACAGCCAAAGCTAGACAGAAAGGAAGACACAAAGCTTAAGTAGGAACCATGCCCCGTTAGCTCACTGTGGAAGACTGTTCTGTCCTAGTAATAAAGCTTGGTGCCGAACTGCAATTTAAAAAATTAAAAAGAGGGCTGGAAAGATGGCTCAGAGGTTAAGAGCCCTGGCTATTCTTCTAAAGGTCCCAAGTTCAATTCCCAGCAACCACACGATGGCTCACAACCATCTATAGTGGGATCTGGTGCCCTCTTCTGGCGGGAAGGCAGAACACTATATAAATAAATTTAAAAAAATTTTAAAAAAAAGTTCTGGAGAAATGGTTCAGTGAGTAAGAGAACTTGCTGCTCTTTTAGAGGACTGAAGTTCTATTCCCAGCACACATATGATAGCTCACAACTATATGTAACTCCAGTTCCAGGGGATCCTACACCCTATTCAGCCTCTATGGGCACTGTAAACACATACATGCAGGCAAAATACCCATAAACAAAACAAGATAAGTAAATCTAGAATAAAAAACTTAAGAGTAGCGTTCAGAGGGGCTGGAAAAAGGCTCACAGATGAGGATCTCTAGAACACAGGAAAATATGAAAGTGCTCAGAGTTGACATTTGCACAAACAGCTTAGATAAAAAGAATGCAGACTGTGGGCTATGTCCTAAATGTCCAGGTCTTTGGTAGCACTCTCTGAAACCAAAGCAAGGTCAGCCGAGTCACACCTGTAATCCCAACACTCGCGAGACAGACGCAGGTGGATATCTGTGACTAAGGCCAGCCTGGTCTACAGAATGAGTTCCAGGACAGCCGGAGCTACATAGACAGACCTTGTCTCGAAAAACAAACAAACAAAAGACTAAAGCAAGGTTATTTTAAAGGAGATCGGCCAGTCAGAGTAGCTCATGCTGAAAACCCCAGCACTTAGGAGGTAGAAGCAGGAAGGCCGGAAGCTCTGAGCCCTCCTGACACATGTTAGATCCTGACTCAGAAACTTGATTTCTTTATCTGTGTATGATGTCTGGCCCACACAAGTGTATGTGCAGCCATGTAGGCCTGGCGCCCGTGGAGGTCAGGAGAGGATGTCAGAGCCCCTGGAGCTGAATTGACACACAGGTATAAGCCACCATACAGGTGCTGGGAACCAAACCCGGGTCCCCTGCAAAAGCAGTTAATGTTCTTGATCGCTGATCTATTTCTCCAGCCATTCCGAAAAACTTTTTAAAGATAAAATAAATTTCAATAGATAAAATAGCATAAATTAAAAATGAGTACAGTATTTAATATTTTTTATTTTTATTGTGTTTTTGGGTAAGATTTAAAAAAAAAAAATGCTGGGTGGTGCATGCCTTTAATCCCAGCACTCAGAAGTAAAGACAGTTGGATCTCTATAAGTTTGAGGCCAGCCTGATCTTCATAGCAAGTTTCTAGGATATCCAAGGCTCCACAGTCAGACCCTGTCTCAAATCAAACAAATAGATGGTGTGTGGGGGGGGGCTATGTGCATGTGTGAGAAGATGCACAGACACCAAAAAACGGCACCAGAATCTCTGGAACCAGAGTTATAGACCATTGTGAGCTGAAGATGTGGATGTTGGGAACCAGACTTGGCTCTTCTGCAAAGGCCAAGCATTAGAGTGCATGCTTGTTACCCTAACACTAAAGAGTCAGAGGCAGGAGGGGCAGGAGTTCAAGACTGTCTCAGTGACTTAGTGACTACAAAAGTTCAAGGTTAGCTAGCCTGGGCTAGATGAGAGCCTGAGAATAAATAAATCACATATACTCATATATATGATTCATATATATACATATATATGAAAGAAGGTGGCTTTATATGGCAGGCAGTGCATTATTTTTAGAAATGAAGTCTTGGCTGATGGAAGCTGTACAGATATATTTGGAAAGGTCTAGGTAGAGGCACTGATGGCGAGTCATTTGTTGACAGAGAGCCGCTGGTGGGCTGGTGAGGTGACTCAGTGGGTAGGAGCCCTTGCTGCCAAGTGACCTGAGTTCATTCTTTGGAACCCATGGGTGGAGGAGAGGACCAGCTCCCCAGAGTCGCCCTCTGACCTCCACACGCATGTATACACACATACACAAAGCTAGTAAGTAAAGGCTGTGAGCTGTGGGGCTCACAGCTCTTAAGCTCTGAGGCCTTCATCTGAGAGGCAGGGCTCTGAGCTAGAGCAAGACCGAGCTAGTCTTCCCTTGGTCGGAACCATACAGTCCCTCCTCCACGGGGCTCAGAGGAATGAGACCCAAATCTGGAACTTCTTGAGTAAGTCCGTTTGCATTACTCTCCCTTCCCTGCCACCCTCCTCTTCACAGCAGTATTCCTGTCCCTTAGGCTGGCTGTTGTTCAGTGTGTTGCTGTCGTCTGGAACTCCTATCTATCCTGGAAAGCACATCAGCTATAAGCCTGCCTTGTTCCATACCTGGCGTCGCTGCACCTTGATCCTGGAGTGCTTGGACAGCTTCTTCAAAGAGAGCCTATCAGGGCAGGAGCAGGGGCTTGGCTGCTGAGAGCGTAGACTGCTCTGCAAAGGACCCACACTGCGTGGTTCACAACTAGCTGCAACTCGAGCTCCAGGAGACCTGATGTCTTCTTCTGGCCTCTGAAGCTCCTGCGCTCACGTGCACATACCCACGCATAGACACGTATTCAAAATTAAGCATACAATAAAAATATTTTTTTTAAAAAAGAGGGAATCTGTCCGTTTCTGCTGTGGAGTTGCCGGTTGGAATAGGATTGCCACTCTGAAATGACACATTCACTATAAGTGTAGCTGTTTTTGAAATCACTAAGACCTTTATAATATTGCCTGTCACTTTGGCACTTAACTGATGGGGACATACTATGAGAATTGTGTCCTTTAGCAATTTTGTCATTGTGTACACAGCATAGAAAATACACAAATGGGGCTGAAGAGATGGCTCAGTGGTTAAGAGCACTGACTGCTCTTCCAAAGGATCCAGGTTCGATTCCCAGCACCCAAATGGTAGCTCACAACTGTCTGACTCTTGTTCCAGAGGATCTGATACGGTCACACAAACACAAATGCAGGCAAAACACCAATGTACATAAATAAAAAGTATTAAAGAGAAATATAAACAGATGGCAATAGTCAGTTGCAGAATCTCTCAATGCAGAAAGCATGAAGTGTATTCTGCCAAAATAATGTGATAAACTGTTTTACAGGGAGCTTTTTTCTCATGTAAGACATTCTAAAGTAACAGAGGAGACTTACAAGTCAGTAACATTGTCATTTATCATTAGGTTGTATATGCTGCATGTAGTTTCACAAGCTACACTTCCATGTTACTGTAAGCCTAGAATAGTCCCACCAGCATTATCGCAAATAAATGAATAATGGACAGAACGCGATAGCTGCTGGGCGCAGTGGCACACACCGGTACTCCCAGCACTCGGGGGCAGAGGCAGGTGGATCTTTGTGAGTTCAAGGCCAATCTGGTCTACAAAGTGAGCCCAGGACAGCCAAGGCTACCCAGAGAAACCCTGTCTAAAAAAAAAAAAAATAACTAACGTTGCCAGATGGTGGGACAGTTGAGCTCTGTTGTGGTTATCTGCAGTCACGATTGTATGTGTTGCCATCGCTGGCTTAAAGGTTGTCATTATGCAGCATGACTTCTCTGGTTCCTACCACCTAGTATACACTCCAAAGATCTTTATAGACGATGGCCTCGCCAGCTTTACACCCATGTCCCAACAGTTAGCACACATCCCCGCTCTCTACAGACACATCTTTCTGTCCAGCATTCAGGACTGAATCCAGCCTTGTGCATGCTAGTCAAGAGTTCCAACACCGAGCCACATCCCTACCCTAGAACGGCTGTCACTCTAACTTTTCTAGGTCCTAGTGCCCTTTGAGACCCTCTCAGGGTCTTTATAGGCACATAAATGGATACACTGGAATCTGCAGTGGTCATGTGTAAGACCCGTCAGAAGACTGCAGCCATGTCTGTAACTGGAAGGAAGTGCGGGCTGTTCAAGCCTGGCCTTCATTTACGAAGTTAGATACCGGTGGTTCCAGAAGTTAGGAAACCTGGTCTAGCATGAGTTGAAGGTCAAGGAGGAACTTGAGCCCAAATTTCTCACTTCCTACGTAGTGATTTTGTTGCTGATGCTGCTGTTTTGGAGATAGGGTTTCTCTGTGTAGTACTGACTATCCTGGAACTCCCTCTGCAGACCAGGCTGGTCACAGAGATCCGCCTGCCTCTGCCTCCTGAGTGTTGGGATTAAAGGCGTGTGCCATCATCTCTGGGCTCCCTACATAGTGATTTTTGACTAGAAGGTAAAAATGTATAATGATACTATTTCTGTGGTTCCTAGGAAAAAGCTGACCTTGGCAAACTCAGGAGGACAGGCAGGTGTCCTAAGTTCTGAAAGCCAAACTTTCTTTCTTTCTTTCTTTCTTTCTTTCTTTCTTTCTTTCTTTCTTTCTTCCTTCCTTCCTTCCTTCCTTCCTTCCTTCCTTCTCTCTCTCTCTCTCTCTCTCTCTCTCTCTCTCTCAACAGCCCTGGCCGTCCTGGAACTCTCTTTGTACAGCAGGCTGGCCTCGAACTCTCATCGATCCTCCCGCCTCTACTTCCCAAGTGCTGCGATTAAAGTCAGGTGCCACCACGCCTGGCTGCCAAACAGCCTTTTACGCCATTCTGACACCGTCAAGAATCCTGACAGACCCATCGGGGTGGCTGAGTCCCTGCCAGCAGAGAATTCCTGATCTCAGTTTGGGGACTCGGGTGCCTGCCTAGGGACTATGTCTAAGCAGCACAGGGCAGACTCTTGGCTGTGAAGAAGTTCAGAATCACGGACAGCTCCACAGCGGCACCTTTCCCCGTTCTGGACAAGAGAAACCCGGGATTCGCCTGCTCTGGAGGCACCTTGGCTGTTTCGTGTCGGGGAAGAACTCTGTAGCCGGAAGATCAATCTTTCTGGCTCAGGCAGCCTCTCCCTCTACAGCCAGGGTGCTTCCAAAGCCAGCTCTGGGGACACGAAGCCTGTCGTCAGGACGCGCGCCCCTCTGGGGGCTCGAAGGTGCTGGACTCTGAGCTGCCTCGCTGACGTCAGTCGGAGCTGTCCTGTCCTGGCGCTATATAAGGCTGGCGGCGGTCCCGGGACCGACCCCGTGCTCCTCAAGGCGTCTTCAGCCCGTCCCGGGGGACAGAGACTGGAACTGGAGCTCCGTCTGGCACCAGGCAGAGGCTCCGTCTGGCACCGGGCAGAGGCTCCGACAACCTGTGAGTGGTCCGGAGCCACGATCCGGATTCCCTTAGCACCAAGACTCTGCGCTCAGCCCACCCACTGCGCCCCGACCCGCGGGAAGGGAAGGAGGGAAAGAGGGGTGGAGCCCCGGCGGCTGGGGCTGGTGGGCCCCAGGCTACAGCCGCAGGGTCCCGGCGGGGCCCCTGGGAGTGCGCGAGAAGGGCCCCGTGTCACCTGCAGCCGCTCCAAGCGCACCTCACCCCGTGCCGTCCCCGTGTGTCCCGGGCAGGCGGCAGCATGGGGCAGAAGGGACGCGCCGCGCTCCTGCTAGCGCTGCTGCTGCTGGCGCGGCTGCGCCCCGGGAGCGGCCAGCGGAGCGCAGCGTCCTCGGCGGCGGCGGCGGCCGAGGTCCGGGATCCGCATGTGCGGTGGAGCCCCGGGGCGCGGAACCCAGGCGGCGGCGGCGGCGGCGGCGGCAGCGGCGCGCGCGCGCTCCTCCTGCTGTCAGCCGAGCGCTTCCCGCGCCGCGCGGGCTCCGGGGCGGCGGGCGAGCGGCAGCGACGGAACGACCCTCCTCCGCTGTCCATCGACCTCACCTTCCACCTGCTGCGGACCCTGCTGGAACTGGCTCGGACGCAGAGCCAGCGCGAGCGCGCGGAGCAGAACCGCATCCTATTCGACTCGGTGGGCAAGTGATCGCGCGGCGGGAAGCCTTGACCCTCTCTCCCCTACCTCCCCCGGGGCTGGAGCGCGCACGGTCGGAGCCGGCTTAGTCCCGCGGTGCAGCGCCGCCCGGGGGAGTCGCCCTGAACACTCGGAGTGGCTATTTTTTAATAAAACTGCCCAAGAGCTGAGCCTCTCATCTTCTGTCGTGGAGGGGAGGGGGTGAGCGCACTGGCAACTACGATAGGTAGGAACTTTTCGGAACGGGGCTCCCCGGGCCGGTAGGAGAGGCAAACATGCTAGGCGGGATGGGAGAGAAGAGATCAGTTAAGTTCTTGGGGACACCCCCCCCCACGCGCCAGATCCTGGAACTCAGAGGTCTGAGACTCCACCCCAGACACCCCTAGGGTAAAGGAGGTAGGTGCCCGCGACGGGGGAGGGACTGCTATTTCATCTCTGCGAGAAAGGGCAGGTTGATGGCAAGGTCGCTTCCATAGCCGAGCCTAGGGGTGGGCGGCGAAAGGAGCGGAGGACGTGAGACGCAAGAGTCCTTTATTAGGAACCTTCCCCGGGGCGGGTCGCCGCCGAGCTGGGTGGTCTGGGGGGTCTGCGCAGATCCTCAGCATCCCTTGCCCCCTGCTGCGGGCGCGAGCTCTGGGTCAGGGTCGGGTCAGTGCAGGCCTGTGGCCGGAAAAGACAGCTCGGTGGGCGGGTGCTCCGAAAGCGCAAGACACCCCCCAACGGCCAGCTCTCTCAGGCAGCCCGGTTTCTGCCCCGCGGGATCTTGCATGGTCCCCAAAGCCGCGGGAAAGAGAGTGTGCTTTTCCGCGCGCTGAGGGGCGCGCTTTGCGGCTCCTGTTGAGTGGCACCCGAGTGGGGGGGGGGGGCTCCCAGCAAGTCCTGGTGCCACCGGGAGGGCAATCGCCCAAGGGGCCATGGGCTCGCTAACCAACTCCTTACTCCAAACCCCTGGTCCAACTCTCACCTTCTGGCCCGTCCAGCCTCTCCTCCTCCAGCCCTGCGTTGCCCTCGTCCCCGTCCAAAGCCGCCTCATCATCCTCTTCCTCCCCGGCGGCGCCTAGGTGGAAGGCAGGCCTGGTGATGCGGAGCCCCCTGCTCTTCCGGCGGTAGCGCCCACCTCCTCCCCCTTCAGCGGCTCCAAACAGTCCCTCCCTCGGCTCCCTCACCCGGCTGAAAGTCGATGGTCCTCAGCATTTCGGCCACGTGCTCCACGCTCACGGAGAACTGCTCCATGCTCTCATAGCCGGGCTCCGGCCGGCCCGCCAGCTCCACCTTCGACATTGCCCCGACCCTGCGACGGCCACGGGAGTTCAGCGGGGAGCCTCCCCGGCTCCCTCGGGTCCTTCCCAGGTCGGAGACAGAGAATCCACAGGGTCCCTTCCTTTCCCACCGCGCAGCCCACTCACTTGTTGATGAGCTCCTTGGCCTGCTGCAGGGGAGGAAGGGGGCGCGGAGGTGAGCCCGGGCTCCGCTTCTCACCGGGCCTGCGCGGGGGGCGGGGCTTAGAGCTCAGGTCCCTCCGGAGAGGGGCCGAGAGCGCCCGCGGAAGGGGGTCTCTTTCTAGGTCCAGGTGACGAGAAATTACCGGAGATAAGACCTGACCCCTCCCCCCCAGGCCTTGAGCCCCGTCACCCCGCGTGTCTGCCGCCCTCCCGTTCCGCCTACCTGGAGGTAGAGGGCCATCTGCGGCTCCTCCATGGATTGGATGGCCGTCTCCACCAGCTTCGAGGAGGCCTCCAAGTGGTCTCCGTACTGACGAATGAGGCCCCGCACGCGCTGCAGCTTCTCCTCCTGCTCCTGGGCCAGCGCTTGGAGCAGCTCGCCCTTGCGCTCCTCCAGCACCGCGCACAGGGTCTCGAACCTCTGGTTTAGAAGTTGCTTCTGCCTGCGGCTGTTGTCCTGAGAGACCAGAGCAAGTCTGAAGGAGGGCGCGGCTGAGCACCCCCAGAGCTCCGAGAGCCCGGTGTTTTATTCCTTTCCCCACTTAAAGGAACTCAAGGAGAGATACCTGACTAGGGTCACACCTTGAGTTAGGGACACAGAATCCAGCCCAGTTCTTTTCAGTTAATAGTGATGACAAATGTCAAAGCTGTTTCCCTGGGAGCTGTGTATGTCGCTGGCCCTGGCTCTGCTTTGCATGAATTTTCACTTTCTTCTTAAGAAAATGAAATGCGGTAGCTACCCTGTCACTATCGGCATCATCCTTTAAAGTTAATTGAGTTTTAAGCCGGGTGGTGGTGGCTCATGCCATTAACTCCAGCACTCGGGAGGCAGAGGCAGGAAGGTCTCTGAGTCCCAGGACAGCCAAAGCTACAGAGAAACCCTGTCTCAAAACAACAGCAACAATAAAAATTAATTGAGTATTGGCTAGGCAGTGGTGGCGCAAGCTTTGAATCCTAGCACTCTGGAGGCAGAGGCAGGAGGATCTCTATCAGTTGGAAGCCAGCCTCATCCACAGAACAAGTTCCAGTACAGTTAGGGCTACATGGAGAAATCCTTTCTCAAAACACCGAAAATAAATAAATAAATAAAAATTTAAAAGTAATGTCCTTATTTCAAAATATAGACCTATGAACCTTAAATGAGACCTATGAACCTTAAATGAGAAATCCTCCTGCCTCAGCCTCCAGAATGCTGCCATTATAGTTCTGGGCTACCATAGCTTGCTTGCTTATTTACTTATTTAGTTTATTAGAGATAGGATCTCCATATGGCCTGGAACTTGCAATTATCCTACCTCCGCCCTCTGGTCATCATTATTTCATGTAGTAAAAAGCCAAACAAAACCAAAAATTAAGTAACTTGACCAACATTACAGAGCTGGTGAGTGCTGGGAGCAACCTGGCCTAGAATAACCCACCATGAGCTAGAGTCCAGAAACTTCTGGCCAGCCTGGCCAGAAGTCAAAGAACTGTTTCCTTTGAATCTCAGGGTCTCCACCCAGACTATTCTGTCCCCCTTTGTCCTCCCAGCCCAAGCTTACCTCAATGGTCTGGCACACCTCCTCCATCTGCGTGATCACTGCCTGCACTCGGTCATTGCCTGCCACCAGCATTGCGATGCCGTCGCTCAGCTCGCTCTGCCACACACATGGGCCAGCCTCAGAGCTGAAAGCCCCAGCCTGCAGCTGCGCCCATCCCATCCCACCTTCCTGGAATGACTCAAGAAGTATGGGAACACATTCCGTCGATCCTGGGATTGCCCCACTCCCAAACGTGAAGGGAAGGGATGTTCTCTAGACAGCCGCCCCTTCCAGACTCTGGGCTAGAGGCTTTATCAGCAGGCTCACACCTTCCGCTAATTCTGAAAGATTCTTGGGACTACCCATTCAGACCACACTGATTCTTAGAATCATCCTGGGAGTCAAAGAGGACTATGTCAGACCTTCTCATCCTCAGTCTCCCACTTCCCGGTGCTTTCTACTGATTCAACAGTTATCACTTTTCTTTTTTCTAGACGTATTTATTATGTACACAGTGTTCTGCTTGCATGTCTGCCTGCAGGCCAGAAGAGGGCACCAGATCTCATTATAGACGGTTGTGAGCCACCCTGTGGTTACTGGGAGTTGAACTCAGGTCCTCTGGGAGAGCAGCCAGTGTTCTTACCCTCCGAGCCATCTCTCCAGCCCCAGTTATCACTTTCTAAAAGCTCTACTTGCTTCTATGTCAAATCCTGGAGAGTAGGGGGCCCTCTGGGCTGAGGTGCTGCTGTCATGCTATGACCATAGCAGCCATCATCTTCATGTTACCGGGCAAGAGAAGAAAGCCATGGCCGCAGGGGCCAGGGAACCTCCTCAGGGTTGTGCACAGAGTCCAGAACAGAGCTGGGGCTCTGGCCCTGACCTGCTGCAGCTTTCCTTAGTAGAGTGAGAACTGTCCTATTCTAAACCCCTTCCCAAATTCCTCCCTGTCTGGTACCTTCTGGCGTTTGTAGATGGTGGGCAGGGGGGCCACCTCACAGTCCTTGTGGGCACCGAAGACCTTGCACAGGGAGCAGGTGGGCACCTCACAGCTCAGGCAGTAGATGTTGATCTTCTCATCCTCATGCTCCTCACACATGAGGTGCTGCTCAGCTTTGGAGTGCAGCGGCCTGAGGGTCAAGGGCATGGTAGCAGCAGCTGTCAGGGAGCCAGGCTCTGCCTAGTGGCAAACCACTTAAACAATGTTCTCCCTTTGGGGGCGAACAAGGTGCTCAAAGGAGGCCTGGACACAAGAGGAGTCTATTCCAGGGGCCAGAGATGTCCCACAAGACAGGAAGTCACGGGAGCTGGTAAGATCAAGGACATTGGGGTGGACTTTTGCCCCACACCAGGAGGAAGGAGCAAGATTGATCACTGAGCCAGGTGTGATGGCACACACCTATAATCCCAGCACTGGGGAGACAGAGACAGGTGGATCTCTGAGTTTGAGGCCAGCCTGGTCTACAAAGCAAGTCTAGGACAGCCAAGGCTACACAGAGAAAACCTGTCTTGAAAAACAAAAAGAACAAAAAACCAAAAACAAAACAACAACCACAAAAAAGATTGACTACTGGCTCCAGAGGCAAGGTTAGGCCTCCCTGGATAGACTGGGTAAATGGGTAATCCCATCCTCTCTGGGTCTACTCCCCCCGCCCCCCATGCTGGATAGTTTTATGTCAGCTTGACACAAGCTTAAGTCATCTGAGGCAAGGGAACCTCAATTAAGAAAACGCTTCCATAAGATGAGGCTGTAGGCAGGCCTGTTAGGGCATTTTCTGAATTAGTGATCGATGGAGGACCCGCCCCATTGTGGGTGGTGCCATCCCTGGGCTGGTGGTCCTGGGTTCTATAAGAAAGCAGACTGATCAAGCCATGAGGAGCAAGCCAGTAAGCAGCACCCCTCCATGGCCTCTGCATCAGCTCCTGCCTCCAGGTTCCTCCCCTGTTTGAGTTCCTGTCCTGACTTTCTTCATTGACCGGGCTAGGATGCGGAAGCGGAAGCCTAACAAGCAGTTTCCTCCGAACATTGTTCCTGGGCGTGGCGCCTCATCACAGCAATGGTAACCCTGAGGAAGGCAACCCCTCTATTCCTGGCGGTGCAGGCCTCCCTCCAGGGAGGCCAGCGGCCAGGCACCTCACCGAGAGGACTCCTGCTTGTAGATGTCAATAATGTTC